AAATATATCACATCCTTCTTGGACCTAACTTTATATGGAAAGTTAAAAAAAAAACAGTATCCATTCTTACATTTAAATCATCTGTTTAAAAAATTTTTTGAATATACTATCAATATAAACATTGAAGTATTTTACAACTACTTCCCAGAAAAATATTAAAAACCTCACAGAAGTTCTATACTCATATACTCTAAAGAGAAATTTCTAATGTGAGTGAGAAATTTAATATTTTTCAACATTTGAGTTTGCGATATGTTATTTTGATTAGCTAGTATCAGAAAAATTTTTTCTCTAATATGTAAACATCCTAATTTTATTTATTGGAATGGAATAATAATTGTCAATAATTTCATTGATAAGAAAAAGTATTTAACATTTCATCAATATGTCATAACACAGAGCAATATTAATTATCCAGTCAAATCTTTTTAATTTGATCACCGTTTGAATGCTAATTTTTCTTAATCTGTTTTTGATAATTACAGTAGTTCTATTTTATAATAATATAGAACTTTATAATATTTAACAAAATGTTTCACTAAGCAATGGAGGCAAATTAAGATGATAATCAATTCATATTATTTCACTTCACTATTTTCATTTTGGGAAAACTCTTCTGTAAGTATTAATATTAAAAATATAAAGTATACTTTCAATTATCTGGGCTAATCACCAGTAATGAAGGCATGAATAACAGATATTCTGCAAGATGTGTGAAATTCAATATGAATTTAAAACAAATAGTTTACATATTATGAATAAAATACATTTTGAGTGTGATAATTAATTGAATAATAAGTTTTTGATGTGATCAGTTGAATAAAATTAACAAACAAAACATTCCATAAATTTTTTTCTGAATTAGCACTGAATGGCATGTTTCCAGCTAGATATCATTGTAAAATGTCATTAATTTTGCAATATTAACAATTTATTAATAAGGAAATGAATCAAAATATTTACTTCAAACAATTTTACAACTTAATTAACTAAATAACAAAAAAATAATAATAGTAAATATACACATAATTGAAGCTGTACTGTTCAAGAATCAACTGAACTTACTGTACTTGTTAAGCCATTTAATTTATGCATTGACGTTCTAGTAGTAGTTCCAACACTCAATATATATTAAATATCAGTAGTTAACAAAGCAGATGAATTATTTTAATGCTAATATTTGTATTCCTGACCTAAATTTTTATCAAGACGTAAGTATCACAGTTAATCTGCACATGGTTCATTTTCTAATAAACATTAACAACTGTAGTTAAAAGTAAAAGAATTTAAATATTAAAGACTAGTTAATAGAAATATATAAAAACAAACATTCATATATGCAGTCAACTAACACCTTTGGCATATAAAGAACCATTCAAAATTATCAAGTAAAGCTGCAGCAGTGANTAGACAAGAACAAATACTACAAATATTCAAGTACATCAACAGCATTATGTATGATCAATAAAAAGACAGAATTATCTAATGTGAAACAATCAAGAGGTTACATTTTTTGGTTATTTCAGAATTATTAATATTACAATAGATATTACTGACAAAAATTGATGATAATATTAACACAAAATTTTTATAAATTTTTTATAAAATTTTATGAGATTACCATGTTTCATAGTCTAATAAACATTAACAACTGTAGTTAAAAGTAAAAGAATTTAAATATTAAAGACTAGTTAATAGAAATATATAAAAACAAACATTCATATATGCAGTCAACTAACACCTTTGGCATATAAAGAACCATTCAAAATTATCAAGTAAAGCTGCAGCAGTGAGAGTTGTATACATGTTTTATTTTATTCTAAAATTAAATTTATTTTGATTATCTCTATTATTCATAATTATTGAAAATATAAGTCATTTGAGTCTCTTACAACACTCAAATTTTACTTATATAAAAATATCGTTAAAAAGATTTAAATTTAAAACAAGGAAACAATTTAAGACAAATCTCATTTCAAGTATTTATTTTAAAATCTAAAATAAATCTACAATAAAACACACTGTAGAAAAGATGTTATGTTTATATAAATATTCAATGTGCAAGAATTACTTAGAAACATTTATAAATTTAATAAAATTTTTAATACTTCATGTGCATACTTTCATATTAATTAAAATAAGTTTATTGATTTAAGTAACCCATCAATTCAATTTTTAAACTATATAAAATAGATAACATAGGAATGAATATATTTAAGATATTGAAACTGGAAATACAGAAAAAATATTCCACTATTTTAAATTAAATATTCAAATAACTACCATTAGACACCAAACGAATTCTAAATTTACCAAACTTATGCAACAAATCCATTTTATAATAAAGAAAATTATAGATGTCTATTCTGTCTTGTAAGAACACAAAAATAATCAAACACACTGAAATGTAATATAAAGATATACAGAATGGAGGGGGGAAATACTAATTGAAATTTTAAGACCAAATTATAATTTTTTTTTTAACAACTTTCAGGAGAAGGTTTTAAATTGAAGTAATGTGACTTCTGATTTGCATCGGAAGTTCATATATAGTTAATCTAGGCCTCCTGCCCCTAAGGTTTCCATATCTGGTCTCAGATTTCATCTAACTAACTCTGAGATTAAGGAAAGATGGACAATGACAGTGGAAATTTATGTCNTAAAAAGTATAAAAGTATCCCAATTTTGGTTACAGAGGCAATGAAATAATCAAAATATTTTTATTATATTCAAATGCTGTTTTATCAAATCATTCATAAAAATTTAAAGTTAGTATTAAAACCATTTCTAAATATAAACATCCCACTAAACCAGATATATTGCAATAACACCACTTTTAAATATTAGAATAAAATGGTTTGATGTAATTTTTTTTCTTTAGTTCAAAATTCATAAATATAAATATTTCTTTCCAAATTTTTATAACATCCACCACAATTTATATATTTGTCAGTATTTTAAAATTTGTTTCTTACAATAATTCCCACTTTTATTTAAAATCATCATAATAAAATAATCACAACAAAACTAAACATTCCTATATCTATTAAATTCAATTAAACAAGTTTTCAGTAAATGCTGAACAAAGATACACAGCAACTCTGTAAAAAATGTATTCAATGTTATTTTAGACTGATATCAAAAAATCAATAATTAGCATTTAATAGTTTTTTATCTCAATTTCCTCTTTACTAAATGAAAAACATTTTAAGAACATATTTTACTTAATAGCTTCAACTATATTCAAAATTAATTTAAAATAAAGCAATTCATTTAATATTTTACAGCAGTTTAAATATAATTCTTTTCAGAGGTCAACAACAAAACTTCAAATCTTATAGCATATTTAATTTTAATTAATTAATAGTTTCAAATTAGCTTTCTGGCTTAATTTTCAAAAGTAAATTTTAAATGATGTACAGTACCTCTGAATACAAATTCAGAAAATAAATTTGAAAATGAAAAAACTGCCATTTTACAAACTTCGTTTTTGAATGTTTATGTTAAAGATAAAATTTTTCATCTTTTTTAGGTTAAAATCAGTATGAACTGATATCAAACAGTTTTAATATAAAATATCTTTCATATTACTTGCTTATCAAAATGCAAATAAATCTCTATGTCTATTTTCATAATTAATTTATAGCATATTGTACAAAATTAAATATTTAAGTTGTTTATTAAATACAACATATATTCTGTTGATTCTCTATGAAACCAATTTATTATTTCACAAAGAGTTTGCTAAATAATTAGTGATGTTTCAACAATATTTTAAATACCACACCTGGAAAGAAATTTCAAATTATATATTCCAATCAATATAAACTATCATTTTTTTTTCATTCTTGATATATCCCATAAGAAAAATTCTCTTGGTAGTGGCTAGTTTATATTCATCAAGTTAAAAATAAACTTTATAAACTTACAAATACTTTAATCTTTATCTATAAAAGTAATTATAGACTATTAAGTTTCCTTATATAATATAAAAATATGAAGTATAATTTTAAAAAATTTAATGACTCATTAAATCTATTACGACTATCTAAACTATTATTATTATTTATTCAACAGTTAATCCTGATTTATTATCCAAATTTATTAATAAATTATATGTTCAAATGAACTATGAAACTAAGTTCTAAGTTATAAGAATTCTCCATTCCAGAATTTTATTCAATAACCGTATAATTTCAAATTAAGCTGTAATTCTATTAAACTGTTTATTTCTACAATATTCTCAAACAAGAACAAGAGAAATATACATTGTTATAATTTGTAAAGCACATACCACCATGTTTAAATACAAAACACCTGTATTTCCAAGTGAAAATATATTCATTGCTATGATATCTAAATTCTACACAATATGAATGCTAAAATTATACTGCCTGCAAACAGAAATAAACATTCTAAACAAAGATATCAAACATATTTATGATATGATGTATTATTATTGTTTAAACACGAATTAATTTTACAAGAGTTCTTTCACTATAACAACAAACTTTCTAATATTTAAATTAAACTTTATTTGAAAGTTGAACTTTACTCCAAAATAAAAAACAAACATTACAGTAACATGAATATATTTTTATTACTCTAATTATTCAATTTTTAAGAAGATATATGTTGTATTTTTTCTTTATTTAAAATAAAATGGTCATGATTATATATTTATATATGAAGAAAACACTATCAAAGTATTCCTTTGAAGCAGCTGTCATTCTTCCTAATATAGATATAAATATATAATCTACTTAAAAATACTAATTACATTGAAATTTTACATCATTCAAATTAGCATACAATTTAAGTATTATTTTTTTAATGTTTAAGTAAAATTCAGTAGCGTAAATTTCTTAGATGCAATGAATAATCTTTTAAAAATATTATACATAAATTCAGTTGTACAGAGATCTTCAAAAAGAATGAAAAATAATGAAAACTATTGATGTAATTTTATCTTATTAACTTTATAGAACACATTTAGACTATTTCACATAAAAAGACCCATTTTATTGATCACAACATAGTACAATTCCCATGAGTGAAAAACTTAATTACACTTATAATATTATAACAATCAAATTGGAAAGTTAGTTAAGTGCATTTTACGATGAGTAATAGTATCTTCCTACTTCATAATGAAAGTTATCATTAACACAGGCATATACATGATAGACAAATTCTACAACTACAATGAAGATAAAAAAAATGAATGTCCACATTCAATATCTGCGTCTCTTGTTTTCCATTGGATAATCCTCCCTGTGATCTCTGCGATCCATCATTTCGCGAGGATTACCACGTCCTGAGATAGGACCGTTACCACGCATATTATTCATATTTCCAGAGGGCGGTGCCCCAGGAGGGCCCATATTACTGTGATTTCCAGGTACAGGACCTGGTGGACCACCCATATAAGGTGGAGGCTGATCAAATCGTGACTGTCGCTGCTGTTAAATGATTCCACAGTTCAAAAAATGCAACAGTCAGTTCATTATTTCAGTGAAGCGATGAGTAGCAGAACAACAAATCCATCCAATACACGCGAATGCCCATCAGGTAGTCCATAAAAGGAGGAAAGGAATGTGAAATTAGTGAAGAATAATAATAATGACGCACAAAATGCCAATTATAAAATGTAAAAGGTTTTACCTCCACAAAATGATGTAGTATAATATGAATGAACCTTAACTAATATAATTTTAAAATTATTAAAACTCAATGTTCCAATGCTGTTATTTCATAAGTGTATATACATATATACATTTATAAACTATTTAAAATATCCAAAATAAACAAGACTAAAAATTTCCTTTCCACAATATGCCGAGAGGAAAAAATACAAGAAATTAAAAAAGTACATAGAAAATTCAATATTAATATAAAAACAACGTAAGTCTTTAAAAAATATGAGTATATCTAAATTTATACACTTGAAAGTACAAATTAATTATATTAAAAGTAATCCACTAAGAATACATTGAGTATCAAACAGGTATGAATTAGAATTATGGATTTGCATAGAAATTTACAAATTATGTATTTCAATGTACAATACATTTCACAACATGAGAGGTCATTTTTAATATATTTATATTACTTCTTTTTAGTTGAGGTAAAACAATTTACATTCACAGAAAATAACTATAAAAAAATATGAGAACAAAATAAACTTAACTCAAATGGCAGATTTATTTTATGTAACCTTCTTGGATGTCATACACACACATTAGATAATTTTTATACATATATATATTAATCTTATAAATCTATATTAATTTTTATATAAAGTAAAAAAAATTTAATTTCAGTTAAAATTAAAATTCTCATTAAATATATTTAAAACTCATTTTGACAAAATTAAAAACAATAATGTTAAATATTATTATGAATACATGATTCCAGCTGAAAAAAAATGTAAAATTCACACAAATCAAAATTATCAATGACATACACAAAGACCTGAAATGTTACTGTAGTATTATATAAAATAAAAATTAAAAATGTTTAAAAATTAATTATTAGATCTATCAATCCAACAAATGATCCAAAATTTCAATTATTCAAATACCTAAAGCCAGATTACATTCAAGATATAATAATGCCAATATTCAGCATAAAAATTAAATCACAAATCACACTTTGGGAAAAATAGCAAAATGTTGAGCTTCTGTGTAATAGGAGTCCATGCATAACACACCTGGGGTGAATATACTTTATGATTCAAACGAATCCAATATTACTCTGATCATTCATATCCTGTATACCAGTGTTTTTCAACCTTCTTGAATACCTTTACAAGTTACCCCCTTTATAAGTTAAAAAATTCTGGCGACCACCCCAGGGCCATATTAAGACTATATCAGTAATTTTAAAAACTACGTATTTAATTTTCTTTCTGTTGAGACCTAAATATCAATCGAAAAACCAATTGTACTGTAAAATAAAAAGATACAGCCTTCTCACTGAAATTGTAGTTTTCTTTTATTGTAGTGGACCTACAAACACTTGTCTTTTTCTTTTACTGCAACCTCCCACGTAAGGCTTTGCGACCCACAGGTTGAAAAACACTGCTGTATACAAATGTCATCTAGAATCAACTGAATCACAAACTAATCTGGATGGAGGGTAGAATCATTTGAATCAGATAAAGATTAAAGATGGCAACTACCATAATTAAAGTCAAGCTTATCATTGACAGCAAAGAAATATGTTTATTTCATTTTCAAAACTGCTGTTCCTAAACTGATAAAAAAAAAACTAATTTATTATAACAAATATATAAAGACTTAATACATTATTTTAAAAATCATTTACGATAATTTTGCACAAGACCATGTCAAATAAAATATTGAATTAAATATTAAGTTATGCTTCTCACTGAAATAAAAGTCTAAAAATAAATAATCTTTCTTAATCTTTAATAAAACATTCATTTGTAGATTTCACAGACAGATTTTTCTGGTTATGATTGAAGTTATATTATGGCATCAAAAACATTATTGAATTTTATACTATTTTGTTTTATGGTTTAAGAATATGTAGTCAATATATTATGATTAATATAATAATGAATTTATTATATTAATCATAATATATTGACTACATATTCTGAAATGTTTTAAAAAAATATTTGCAGTATGTTACTTTCATTTTTGTAAATTCCACTGTATTATTTTCAAATTTTTAAATAAATATTAAATATATAGGACTAGTTCAATTAAAAATGAAGTAATTTCAAATACTCAACAGATATTAATACCATTGTCTTATGAAAGTTTCAACCTATGTACTGCATTGTTAATATAGGCAGTTTAACATTTTCTACAAATTAAAAATTATAATCATTTATTATAAAAAGAGTATATTTGGATTTAAAATGGATCATTAAAATTTAAAAAATCATATTTATTCAATGATGATAATATTTCAAAATTTAATTTAAGTAACTAATAAATAATAGATTTACTATAAACAGCCTTTTTGGTACTATAAAATACATGTATAGTTTTATTAAATCTGCACTACAGTAACTAAACACAATGATTATCTATTTAAACATTCAGCATATTACATTTATGGAGTTTTAAGCAGTAAGTTTATAAATAAATTTTATTCTAAGTTTTTAATAAAAAAAGCAATACTTATAAAATGCAATTTTAATTAGATTTCTATAAATATTTCTGTTTAAGGTGCTATTTATGCTTAAATTATTATTCAAATGGATTCAGTTACTAACAATTTTCACAATAAACTGAAAAATTTATTAATAATTAACTAAATCAAATATTAATATAGAAATTTTATTGGAAATTTATGTTAAAATTCTAAAATATTTTAACAAATTCTGTATAACATGATTATTGAATTTATATCACTAATGGTTATTTATGTATCCTATAATTAAAATAAATCGTTGACAATTTCTCATTCTAAAACCTGAAATTTTATACAAATTTCACACTTGCTTGAATAAAAACTCTTTTGTTAGTCATTATTAAAATATATTGCAAACTTCAATTTTTTACAACAAAAATTTATTCTGTATAGAATATTGGTGATTAATACATCACTACATTTTCTATTAGAAGTATTCATTTTTAATATAGTACAATATCCTATATATATTGTTTAAAATTATCTTAAAGTATTGATAACTGTAAAATCGTAAAATATTTCAAATAGAGAATTTGTTGTTAAAAATATAAAAATTTATCAGCAAATGTATTTATAAATAATCACAATTTGCATTTTCTGAAATCAAAGTTGTCTTCAAAAAAAATCTATTCTGAATATTATAAATTTCCTCAATAAATGTTGCAAAATCAGTGCAACAAACTTTATATATAAATCCTTATTATTCACAGTGGCTCAGAAATTTTTATTTTTAAATCCAATAAAAATCATGAAATGAGTAAAGCATTTTTATATAGTAATTACATAATCCCAAAGTTGCTAATTTTATGATTATATGGCTTTATAAAATAAAGTGAATTTTTCAAAGTAAAAAACATTCTTCCGTGAAAAGATTCCTCTACTTCTATATAGCTAATTCGAATCCTCATAATTAAACTATATACACTAAATTTGAATTAAAACTCAAGCATATTAGAATAATTTTTCCATAAAAAAATTAATTTATAGAAAATACATGTATTATCAACTATCATCATCATATATAGAGCACAATTCATTTCCTATACATTGCTGCTTAAATATAATATAATTATTATTAATAAATTATCAATGTAAATTAGAAGCATTTTAACATCAGAATTCTCTGACATATATTTCATGCTTTTTCAATATATTTAATTCACTAGATCACAAATTATAAAAATGCCAAAATAAGAATACCATAAACAAGAATAATAATCATCAAGTTAATGTAATCAAACAATGAATAAACGAAGTTATAAACTGAAACATTACAAGATGAATATTTAAAAGTACATTACTATAACTTGCATTATCACATTTGATATTATACAGTTTTTCAAAAATTAAGTTGCAGATAATACACAAATCATATCGAAAATAAAACAGTGCACTAATTTAAATTTCATATCATTGTACTTTACTTAAAATTTTCTTTATTATATAACGAAAATTTATCAATCATAAATTCATCAAGACATTTTAAAAACAAACTAAAAAGACAATAATAAAGAGTGCACACAAATCACCATTTATAAACTGAATTGAACTATATAAACATTATTACATACTGTTGCATTTTAGAAGGACACTAATTTATATTAATTTTAATTATCAATCAATTACTTTTTTACAATCATTACATATTAATAAAAATAAAAATTATGTTACAACATTTGAGATTAATATCAAACAATTATCAGTAGAAATATATTTTGTTAAATAATCATAAAAACAAAACAGATAATAAACTTATTCAAAATCATTTATAGTCAGTCTTATGAATGAAAGATCTTAGACAAGAACAAATACTACAAATATTCAAGTACATCAACAGCATTATGTATGATCAATAAAAAGACAGAATTATCTAATGTGAAACAATCAAGAAGGTTACATTTTTTGGTTATTTCAGAATTATTAATATTACAATAGATATTACTGACAAAAATTGATGATAATATTAACACAAAATTTTTATAAATTTTTTATAAAATTTTATGAGATTACCATACTATCTTTTAAACTGTACAAAAACACTTAAATGTAAAACAATGATAAGTATTATTTTAATTTATTATCAGTTGCTAATTAATAGAATTTTTCTAAAAGCAAGTTTTGTAATAATCATACTTTTTTTAAACCTCAAAAAATAAATATCTTAAATAATCTTGACAATCATTTCTTTAGTTTTTTAATTTACTAAATACTGAAGTCAAACAAAGAAAAAAACATTTCATATCCACCAATAATTGGAAATAAGGAGAAACATTTTACATTACACTCAGCA